AGGTTTGTGTTTGCTACCTTTCAAAACAGTCACTGTTTGATGAATATTCTACTGATAAATTTGGTGAAATTCCTTGATAACTACATGACTGTATGGTCCTTCGGACAGCTAGATCCTCATTCCATCCACGTTGTAATAATGATATATAAATTTTGTGAAATTCCTCCGTAACTATGGTCCTTCGGAAAGCTCTCTTCATTCCATCCTCTCATGACAGAAATATAATAATATATAAATTTGGTGAAATTCCTCAGTAACTATGGCAACACGGCTAGAAACGGTGCAAACTACGCGTTCTGTCCAGCATCCTGCGATGTTGCAGTCTGGGAGTCCTCCATGACAGCCACCCCGTTTGGTACCGGCGACACACTCTTATTCCTGGGGAGGCTGTTCGCGGCGCTGTTGTCTCCGCCCTCCGGACAGTTCTGTACGTAAATCACCCTGTTGTAGGCTTTAAGCCTCCTCCACAGCTGAACATACACCTTACACTGCACGTACATGAACACCAGACCTCCCGTGAAGCCGATCGCTACGACGACCAGCTTAGTCCAGAACGGCCACTCCAGAACCCCCTGGCGGATTTCTTCGGCAGTGCGATCGATCAGGACGTAGAGAGACCAGACGACGCAGGTGATGGCGATCGCGTGGAACGTGACAGAACACACGATCTTACGCCGCTCGCTGGACGTCATCTGCAGCTTCTCCCACTGTAAAGAAAAAAAAATCATTGTTTATTGTTTATTTCAGGCTCAATGACCCATAGCATACACACAACATGACACATGACAAAACACATCACTCAAGGCCGAATGCTTCCTCAGGAAGGGTCAAATTGGGAAAATTTGTTTTGTTCTTCAGTTAATCGTACGTAGTAACTTTCCATCTGGATTCTGGAGCTTCTCTTACTCTGGAAGAAAAAAAGGAGAAGATCAGTAAAACTGGAAAAATGAGGACGTAGAGAGACCAGACGACGCAGGTGATGGCAATGGCGTGGAAGGTGACGGAACACACGATCTTACGCCGCTCGCTGGACGTCATCTGGAGCTTCTCCCACTGTAGCAAGAAAAAAGGGAAAATCACTGTTAATTGTTTATTTCAGGCTCAACGGCCCATAGTGTACACATAACATGTAACATGACACATACACCAAAAAGCAGTTACTCAAGCAACTGGATATGATTTTGGAAACAGTCAAGAGAAAGAAGAAGAAACAGAGGAAGAAGAAGAAACAGATCAAAAACAATATCTTTCCAGTTGCTTGAGTAACTGCTTTTGGCGTATCGTATTACCTGGATGTATAATTATATAAAATCATGGTGACCATCAGCACTAACCTAAATCTAAAGGGCATGACAAAGTTGTACCTGCACAGCTTACAGCTCTTGGTGTCTGAGCTCTGATTGATTGATTGATTAATTGATAGATTGATTGATTGATTGATTGATTGATTGTAAAAACGATACTAACCTTTCTGAAGGGCTTGAGTTTGGAGTCCATGACAAAGTTGTACCTGCACAGCTCACAGCTTTTGGTGTCGGAACTCTTTATCCACTGCTGCAGACATGCCTGGTGCACAAACCTGGAGCAGGAGAGAGGGAAGGAAAGAATCAGACAAGGGAGGAATGGACAAAATGTCTGAACTCTAATGTACAAACCTGTAACAGGTGGGAGGGATTCTTTGAATCAGTCAAGGGAGGGATGAAGGAGTTGTTAAGAAAATGAATTACAGGTCTTGATGGATATGTATCTAAGAAGGAACATGATTCAATAAACAAAGAAGGAACAAATAACATGTGAATGGTGGTATTGATAGATACACATTCAATGTCATGTCACTGAATGAGTGAATGAATACCTTGCTATCCTGGGTCCTTGCAAACTTATCTCACTCCATCCAGGTGTAAAATACAATGTTGGTATACCTGACTTCAAAAAGGCAAAAGGCAGTAGGAGATAGAGGGATGGGCTCCACTTTCCAAAACATGTACCATGCCCTAGACACAGTGGACTAACAACCCACTGCCCCTACAGCCTAAAAAGGCTTTAAAACTTAACCAGTTTACCTTAACCACTAAGAGTTGACCATACCTTAAGCTCCCCGAGCAGTGGCAGGGTGACATGAGCGGGTTTTCGCTCTCTCCTTCACAGTGACATATTCTGCAGATGTCCGCCATGGACGAGGCCATCGAGGCCCGTGATTGGCTGCGGGGAGCATGGCTGGACGTGGGCGTGCTGGCCTGTGATTGGTGGAAAAGACAGGTGTTAATGTGTGCTGGTCTGTGATTGGTGGAAAGACTTAGAGTGTTGTCGATAAAGGTTAAGCATCCAGTCTTGCAGTTTGTATCCAACCTGCTAGAGGGCACACCTACACAACAACCATGTAATTATTTTTTACTGTTGTATCCAGAACTACAAACATGTATGCATTATCCAAAACCAATGCTCTGAGGGACCGTCCTGGATAGTCCACACATATCTAAAACTTTGCCTGGGGCAAATCTATGTTCTTGGCTACAAGGAGACTATCCAGAACCGTGCCTGACCCTAACCCTAACCAATTCAGGCATACATGTACAGTAACTGTAGAACTGAATGAACAGTTCTGGATAGTCTCTAGTCTCTACCAGACTACATGTAACTACGTTGCTGGCTATGCATGTATTATACTGGAGAAAGTTTGCCAGGGGAGTTTGGCCGCCTTGTAGGTTTGACTGGCCATGCGGCCGGACTCCCTTGGCCAATTTTCGTCTCTTTTTTGCCGAATTCTACAATCTGTATTCCCGTAGATAGGCCTGGTGGAGGCTAGATAGTCTCCATGTATCCAGGATACTGTCAGAGCCAATGTAACATTAGCTCCAGCCTGTATGAAACAATATGGACTGTCACAGCCAATGTTCATGTAACCGCAGTCTGTATGAAGATGAAGATGAAGAGGACTGGGTATCCACGGTAATCACATCACCCGGAGACGGCTGGGTCCTCCTCAGGAGGAAACATCACATCAGGACCGACAGTTATCGCTCCCCGTGTCAGCTCTGCTTCCTCTGCGTGGGCGTGTATGGGGGGCTTCCAGGGACATGGGGGAGGACAATCTGATTTGTGATGAAATATGTCAGTGATTTAGAGAGCACATCGGCAGAACGTACTGCACCTGCGCGAACCCCATAATGTATTGTGCATAGCACTTTGGCAGAACGTCTCTTATAAGGTCGTATTTGCGTATATAAGGTTAACATCCCGTCTGTAGTTTCCAAATATTTTGTTGGAAAATATATCATCTGCAACAGGCAAAATTCTGATGCAACGTTAAGCAAAAATCCAACGAAAACCATGAAAAATGGGGGTTTTGAGCAGGCGCAGTACATTCTGCCGATGTGCTGATTCAGAGTAGCGTTGCACAATAGTCATAGCAGGGATGGTGTGTGTGTGTGTGTGTGTGTGTGTGGAAGAGCTTGCATTTTGTCTTTTTTCGCCAACTGGGCATTAACACTGTACTGTGACACATAATAACTCACCTTAGACAGACTGGACCGACTGGCTTCCCTCTTTGGCAGAGAGTCCGACTGTAAGAGAGAAAAGAACCTCGGTGAACACAAACTCAAAACATACTGAAGATACATGTTTGTTTGTTTGTTTGTTTTTATTTGTTTACCCAGGGTGTACATATCGCCACTAAGGCGTTTTTCAATGTGCCCTGCAGGCATACATAAATAAAATATACAAGAAAATAACAGATATAACAAAATGATAAGTCAACTTATAAGTACAAATTAAAGTCAACTTAGTACAAATAAAAGTAAAAGTACTATATAATGCCGCAACTCAGTAAGGTGGTAATAAAACAAACTTGTCAAACCAAGAGCCATAACTCATAGTAATTAAGGCAATAATAAAAAAACAAATCAAGGAAATAACAAAGGAATATAACAAAGGAATATAACAAAGGAATTTGCATATCAATGCTGTTTGATAACAAGTTATGATGTGGCAACACACTCCTGGTTGTTGTACGTCGATGAAGGTTAGACATCCAGGTAATAAGATAAGAACAGTTACTCAAGCAACTGGATATAATTTTGGAAACAGTCAGGTAGTATCCACTACCTTTCGTCATATCGAAAATTATATCCAGTTGCTTCAGTAACACTGTTTTTTGGCAAACTGAAAAAAATTATGATGACTAAGATTATGAATGTTATACGTATGTAAATATCCAGGTAAGAAACCAGTTACTCAAGCAACTTGGTAGTCTTATTTTTTTTTCAAATTTTCAAAATCTATCTGAGTTATTTGATTAACTGATTTTCTTTTTTCTTGTGAAGATGTGTCATCCATGACCTTCAATTCTTGCCTGGCGGCACAGAGTGACCTTCAGGAGACAATGCAGCAAACAATGACAGATCTGATGCCCTTTTCTGCCGAGGTACAACAAATGTACACGTCCTACTACTACAGTTCCCTACAGGCACTGCCACACAGGGCCACATCATCTCTATTTCCTGGTTCTTGGATTTCAGAAAGATACACATAACGTCTGTGAAGGTTAGACATCCAGGTAATGAGATACGCAAAAGAACAGTTACCCAAGCAACTGGATATGATTTTGGAAATGGTCAGACGTTTCAGGTAGCATCCACTAGCTTTTGCATATCCAAAATTATATCCACTTGCTCCAGGACCTTCAGGAGACAATGCAGCAAACAAAGACAGATCTGATGCCCTTTCCTGCCGAGGTACAAAAAATGTACATGTCCTACTACAGTTCCCCATAGGCACACTGCCACACAGGGCCACAGCAAGTCTATTTGCTAGTTCTTGTATTTCAGAAAGATTATTCTTGCATGTACTCTAGAACTGAGAGTATGACATGAAAACAAAGTCTGTGGGAAAATTCTGTACAGGTGTAAGTATTGTTAGTAGCTATGGATGTGGTCAGATACAAATTGGCCTAGACAAGTGATCATGAGAGTTGAACTTCACCTTGCATTTAGTATGTCGTGAGTTCGATCCCTGGGCTGAGCCATACAAAAGACTTAAAAATGGTGCATGTACATATACATGACTTTTGTACAGTAACTGCTTTCTCTGGTAATACCACTCAGTATTTGGGAAAGAGCATGGCCTGTGAGTTGAATACGCACATACACCACTACCAGTGGACTAAGTCCCCTGCTATAGTGATGCACAAAGTTGTGTGGCCCAAGGGCTACAGAACCCAAGACAGGCGCTGCCATATGCACCAAGCATGATTAACGTTGCAGGGAGTTTAACTTCTGACTGATTACTGCAGCATAAGCTGAGGGAAGGCCCTTTCAGTCAGAGTGAATGTCTGTCACGGCTTAGTGCTGTGTACCTACACCCACATTTAGGTCCACCAGTCCAGATTCAAGTCCAGTTTTTTTTTCATAATAAGTCCGGAATCGGTTCTTGACATTTAGCTTTTTTTTACCCTAACCTTAACATTTTTACAAGTCCGGAACTGATCCGGCAAACTGGTACACACCACTAGTCATGGCTGGCAGTATTTTATGAAGATAGATCTGCCTTCACTCAGCCGTGCAGCCTGACTGGACACCAGTCCTCTGGGTTAATGTTTTTCTCTTGTAATAAGTCCGGAATCGGTTCTTGACTTTTAGGTTTTTTAGGACTTGAACCTTAACATTTTTACAAGCCCGGAACCGGTCCAGCAAACTGGTACACAGCACTATAGCTAGTCTTGGCTGGCAGTTATTTATGATGATAAATCCCCCTTCACTCAGCCGTGCAGCCTGACTGGACACCAGTCCCCGGGTCAATACTGCAGTAATGACATGATGGATGCACAAAACCTTTTAAACTTCAGTTACTCTGTGTTGGTGTATAGGACATTATGTACATGTGGATGTGGGGGGCTGTTATGGCAAAAATATATATGGTCATAGCACAATAGCTGTAGTTATTCATGGTGTTGCACACCCCATGTATTTCTACTTTTAAACTTCAGTTACTCCGTGTTGGTGTATAGGACATTATGTACATGTGGGGTTGAAGTGATAATGAAATTCTAGCTTGAAAGTAGGCTGTGGTTACAGAGCATGGATCTACGTTCTGGGGGGCTGTCAGAGAAAAATAACAATAATTTCACATGTATTTCTTCTTTGTATTGTATCATAAGCGTTAATATATTTCACAAGGGAAAACATATATATATATATTGCTTACTAAAAATGTCATTTATTTTGTAAGTGTTCTGAAGAGCCAGCTTGCTGCCCAATATATCTGAGGACCACCTACACTACAGTTACAATATGTACAAATAGCCAACACTGAAGTTTTGAAGGGTGGTCTAAATGGACGACTCAAATCCCTGGCAATTTCAACTTTAGTATCCTTCTTGCTGCCTCAACACCATGCCAGAATAACCTGCACACTGAAAGTCTGTGTGTCATGACACATATACATTGTTGTACATGTAGGAGCAGTTTCTAGGCCTCCCACTGTATATTCCATGTGAGACGACACAGCAGCAGTTTCCAGACCCCCCAGCCATAGATTGATTGGGCCACCCTGTAGTGGTCCATGAACAAATCCAGTTAAAAGCCGGGACAACAGGGAACACTTAAGGCTGGTTAGGGCAGGCATGGCACACGGGAATCCTGGTTTAGGGCAGACATGGCACTGGGCTATCTTGGGTTAGGGGAGACATGTCATATGGCAGTCAGGGCTCGAAATTAACTGTGTCCCGATGGCCACTGACCACTAAAATTTGGGCCAGGAAAACTAAAAAGACACTTTGAGACATTTTGGGGACAATAGAAAAATAATCAACATTAGATCCAGAATGTCAGCCCTTCTTTTGTCAGGCGCACGTCCCAGCTTTTGGCTCCTGAAAATATTCCCCTTAATTTTTCTGTCTACTCTGGGAGTCAGAACGTAAGCAAAATAAAGTTGAAGTCATACAATCCTTCCAGGAAAACAGGTTGGAACAGTTGGAATCTCAATTGTCACAGCAGGACAATTGAGCTTTATTTTTGGGACAGTTCTGGGACAATAAGAAGTTTATTTCGAGGCCGGATGATATCTGGCAAACCAGGGGCTTAGGAGACATGTCATCTGCCAAAGCTGGACAGGTACTTCCTAAGTACTGGCCTGACCCATTTACATACAGATGGGCCACAGGAAGTGACATAACCTACATACATGGACAAGGACCATATGCCAATTGTTATATTTTGCTATATATGTGTTTTTTTTACACTATGAATGTGTAAGGATATATTAATATATAGACACTACATGTACATTGGAAGCGTATGCTAATAGATTTGGTAGGACCCAATCATGTACTGTACATGTAACTGTGTTTTATTTTGCCTGACCCTGACCTTTTTCATAGTGACCTACATAGCAGCCCCATGAAAATCCAAGAGACTTAAACAAACAAAAAGGACTGGTTAGGAAAAGCAGGCACAGGAACAAACATGTCTACATGTGCATGGCACAGAGGTTTTGTTAGGCTTGTTGTTATCTTAACCTACATGAGAGAATGAAATCCACCAGAAATAGACACAACCATGATTTCAGCACCATGGACAGCACCAAGTCTTTTACTTACAGTACTTAAATTTTGCTTGTTTCCCTGGTATATCTCATTGAGTCAGTCTTTACAAAGTGATTTAAAGATCAATACATCATCATGAGATGATTATATAAGGCATAGAGTAATACAAACATTCATAAAAATGGAAAGCAGTCATTTATTAGAGTTATTAGTTTTCATAGATCAAAAGCAGCTATCAACTTAAAATAGCAGTTATCAAAAGCAGGAAACTAGACAGCCAGAATTACTTTGCTATTGTTATCAATGTCTCTATGTTTGTATATTTCCTGTGTGTCGTGTTGTATGTTAGAATGGACCGCGGGAAGAATAGCTACTGTCTTGTACATGTACGCTAAATGTGGTTCCTAATAAACTCATAGTCAAAGCCAGGAATCCTAGTAAAATTCACCATGGCATCTCCATCTCTCCCCATACAACTACTCTAGTAATAGCAAGGAAGGACATAATTTAGCTGCACACAGCTTTGCTCTCACCGTGTGTTGCTAAATTGCAGTCACTAAAAGTCTGAGCGTACTGCGCGGATACAGGGGGGAATTAGGGACCCAATAACTCATGAGATGTGGCGGGCAAAATTACATTTGTACCGGCCAAGGAAGAAAATGTTGTGTTTCCTGACCGACCCTAGAAAATCCTGCCGACTCTAGACTTTTTTTGGGGGTGGACCCCTGCAAGGGACAAGCTGATCAACCTTTTCTAGCTCCAACTGATCTGACACCTGAGTGATGAAACATTGTACAATTGTTTTTATAACATGGACATTAAAAATAAGTGTCCTCATGCAAGTTTTACTGTACTTAAACTGTATTGTATTACTGCAGCCTAAAAAAAAGATAATCCCTACCTACCAACCCTAAATTTTTCCGGACTGAACCTGAAAATATTTTTTCCTTGGCCTAAAATTCCATTTGTACCGTGAGGCTGTAATACCAGGGACAGATGAATCCGAGTGGTGCAGAGTTAAAA